CCACCCATCTAATGCCGCGCAGAGAGTTGAAGTAAAACCATCAGGCACCTGTGCAACGTCTTCGACTTGGAAGATTCGTCGCAAATTATTTCCCACTATGAAAAGCAGAAATTGGTCGATCCGACCAACCGATAGACCGGTTTTGGGGTGATGCCCCATCATCAGTTCCGGGCATGGTCTCTTCAGAACGGTGTGAACCATCTGAGTTTTGTTATTTTTCCGTTGGGTATCTGCCACACGTACCTACAAAGTCGTAGGTCTGTATGAGAGGAAATGGTTAAAACGTTTGGAGATTGTAACCAAACAAGACCAAGGCAAAACTTGAAAATCAGCCAAAAAATTGACGCCAGCCGTGAAAATCTACATTCCTATATTCATTGTTCATTAATTGTCTTATTTTTAAATATTGTTTCTTTTTTCAACTCATCATATTTTTTACATATTTCATTAATTTTTCATTGATTTTTTTTCTTCTCTAATAGAGTTCCTTACTAACTCATAATCATTCGAAGTAAAATGTTTCTTGCACCCGATAAGATATTTGGCAAAGATATGTTCATCATTTGGAAATTTATGATAGATATTCACGGATCCAAAAAAGTTTTAATCAATCAGGGGGCATGTTTTAAACACCTAATCCAAATGCCAAAACGTTACAAAACTAACTTAAAATTCATAAAACAAGCAAAATTCAAATACTCATCTCTCAGACACTCAAATAGTTGTTTGAATAAATAACAGGTAAACTGTCATCGTGACCTCTCGCCCTCCAGTGCCCTCTGACGGCTTCGCTGATGGTGGTCTTCATTAAAGTGATCTTACGAAATGGTTTGTGTTTCAGTACGAAAAACTGACATCACTGTATGAAATACAGCTGAAAATGACAGGAACGGCGCTGGAACTGTCAGTGAACACGAAAATCTTAAAAATTATGATGAAAAAATAAATACCGTAAAGTACAAACAGTCGTGGATGTTGTTATTAGAAATAATATGCATTTGCTTTAACTGAATGTAATTTTTAATCAAAATGAAGTGAAAGACAAACACTCTACTGCTATGTTTTGGACATGAAAATACGAGGGAGGAAAAAATAAATCAATTTTCTTAACCCACGCAATTTTCTTCAACACTCTTCAAAAGATGGATTTGGCAAAATCCTTATTTGAAAGTAGAAACCACGAGGGTTATGTTGGGAAGGATGCTCACACAGTAAGAATAATACTGAACTGTTCAAAGAGATTTTTCTCTTCATATTCAAAAACAGATTTTTTATTGTTTTCAAGGAAATCTATTCATCTTGAAATGTATTCGGATCTCACACTCTATCGTTTCTTATTGTTTCAGAAGCGTGAATTAGAATTAGCTATCGAACCTGATGATTCAGAGGATAACTTTGTTGAAAACTTTTCCCAAGGTCTGAGTATATCTGATTCTGTGACAACTACACCAGGAAGTCCCTTTTGTGCTCTGACCGCGAGTATGTGGCCTCAGGATATAATTGCTAAGCAGTCGCTGGTTCCTGATGATCCCAATTCCCAACCAGAATATAGGTAGTACCTTGATTTTAAGAAGAATCTGTAAAATTTCATCTTTTCATTAATTGATTCATATGTATTGATCAATGCTGTTATTGAAAAAAGTAAAAGTAGAGTTTCAAGTCTGGAGAAGAAGTAGATTTTTATTTAATAATCAAATATAAACACTACATTCACACACCAGAAATGCAACACTCAGTAAGTATTCGATTACACTACTCACACTCATTTCTGAAAAAAAAATCATGAAACATGTATTTTAATCTGCTGATTAAGAATCTGTATTCAACTTCACTAAACTGTTTTACAAACAAGCCATACATGTTTTGCTATACCATAGCTTCTTCAGACATGTCTATACTGAATAAACACATTGAGTCACTTATGATAGAATGTACTTGAAATGAAGAGAATGTAATTTTTCACAGAAATTCCTGTTTACATTTTTGATTGCAATTGAAATTTATTCTTGAGTTCTTAGTTAAAAACTTATAAGATGCATTCTCTATACATTTATAGGTTTTATTTTTAGATTTGACGAGTTTGGTTTTCGAGTGGATGAAGAAGATGGTCCTGAACAGAACTCTAATAAACTTCTTGGTATACCTTTCGTGGAAGATCCTCAACACAGGTACAGCAAAAATTTTCATTCCATCGCTCTTACATGATGAGTGTAATTGATAGATATAGATTTAAACACTATACTCAAACTCAGCCTCATTCAGAAATATACAATAATTTAACAGCACAAGGTAGTAAAATGAATAAATGAGAATCTACATCAAGAAGACTCACAAGCTCCATTCGACGATGGTTTATAAGAGAGGAATGTGAACTTTCTAATTGACTCCAGCCGTGAAAGGCTTGTGTTTAAAATATATTTCATTCAAACATCCTTGTTCAGTAGTCACAGTTATAAATATTATCTGTTTAGGAACACTAATGGACTTTATGTCTAGATTCTTCTCGAAGTTATTTAACACAAATATCACATCATTTTCACCACATAAGAAATTCCAGTAAATGTATTGGAATATTTGATCCATTTTACAATAAAAAAAATTCAGTTGCTTCAGAATGAGTTTTGTGGATAGTTCTGTAGATCAATTCCATATTTTCATTCAAATATTTCAAATTTAGTGATTTCTGCTATTTAATTTCGCTTATTTCAGATTACAGTGGGTAGCTCACTTAGAATTTTCCCACAACAAGGAAGTGTCAGATTTAACCTGGGACAAGGTTGAGGTCAGATTGCCAAGGACAGACAAGTTGCTTACGATGGTTCGATCTGGAATCCCTCATTCTTTGAGGCCGCAAATGTGGATGAGAATGTCTGGAGCATTAGAGAAGAAACAGCAATCAGAATTATGTTACAAAGAGATTGTGAAAATGTCCAGCAATGATTCTCTTATGACTTCCAAACAAATTGAAAAAGACTTGTTGCACACCATGCCGACAAATGCTTGTTATAGTCATACGAACAGCACGGGAATACCGAGGTTACGAAGAATTATGAGAGGAATCGCCTGGCTATATCCAGAAATCGGGTAAATTTCCTACACTTCTGTTGTGACAAATTTTATTTTGTAAACTTTCACGGTCATAGATAAGTGTGTTGAAGCTATTTTGTGGGTTTGTTAACAGTGGTTATATTTCAAACACGCCTGTGAAAGCTACTGGGTATTGAAACACATGTTGCGGTTTTCTAAACTGTTCAGTGAAAATGTCACAGTAATGTGTTATTCGAAAATATTATGGATTTTCATCAATTCATTTCATCACATTTCAAGGCCTGCAGGTTTTATGCTTAAAGTTTTTAATGTTAGCTTATGGATAAAAGATGTCAGTTAGGTATGACTCCATTCATAAAGTTTTGGAACGAGAAAGAAAATAATTTTCAGGAAAGTTAACATGCTGGTGCATGAATCATGAGGGAAATCATTTTTACATTCATTACATTAAGGAAATGATAATATTCATGATAAATGTACACACGAGTTAAATGGTATAGTTTTGGTTATTTTAATTTATAATATTTTGGAAACAAAATTGCCATTAAAACTTATAGATGATACAATAAAATATAGAAGGATTCTTAACCTACTAGAGAAGCAAAAAAATTAAGGCTCAAAGTATTTTATTATTCAGCATACTCTCTTCTCCTAAATTGGAATATTTATTACAATGAACCTGCAACTCCTTGTAAATATCTTGTTATACAAACCAGGCTTCCACAACTTTCATCACTTCTTTGTGAAAAAAAAATGCACGACATTTCAGGCTCATTTTCAGTTGGTTGGAACCAGATTTGGTAAATAAGGGGAGTGTTCAAGTAATTTGAGCACTCGTTCATGAATTGTTCGCATGGCAACATGCAAAACAAAATACCTTTGAACAACTTTCTGCGTTTTCTGTCCATATTTTTTCTTGTAGACTGGTCAGTAAGGCTGAATAGTAAATCCCAGTTATTGTTCTACCCCTTAAAAAAATGTCAATTATGATTACCTCCTTGGTAGTTCTAAGAAACAGAAGCAAGACTTTTGATCACGAAATTTCTCAGGTCTTGGAGAACCAGTGGAGTGTTTCCATTCTGTTTAATGATCATTTGTTTGAGAACAGATTGAATGTGATGCTTCCACCTCTGCAAGCTTCTACTTCTACACGCTTCTGTTCACAATTTAGATATATGGGGATCCATTTGACCAAAAGTTTTCTCATATACAAATCGACGTGAACTATATGGTGAATGTTTTCATATGAAATATTCAGTCCCTCAGATACTCGTTTTCTCTGATACTCGTTTTAGCCCAATTTGATGATTTAATAAAATTATGAAATATAATAGAAATCTTTTTTATTCAAAGAATTGCACTTTTTACAATATACAGAATAAAATATAGAATTGAATGAATATGTGTTACGACGTATACGTCATAATATATAAAACATGTTGAAATTATAATTATTATTGTATTAAAAAGGAAAATTCAGTACTGGCCCATTCATGGTACGCTTTTCTAGTTTTTCTAACATAATAGTGTGATTGGGGTTATTGAAAGCTTTAGATATTTTAAAAAATTTACCCATATATTCTTATCCCCATTTCTTGTAATTACCTTTTTTATGAAGTCATAGACTGCTTTGCCATACTTTCTTCCTAATTACCTTTGCTGTGATTAGCTCAGTAATTTATTTATGTATAAAAAGCTAAGAAGTCGAGCGTCCATGAAAATCCCAAATTTTTATGAGGACAATGAAAGACTAACAGGGCGATAGTTTTCCATCATGGTCAGGTCCCCTTTTATAACAATGAGTTTTGAGCTAAGCCACTTTTAAGCTATCTGAGAAGTGTCATGTTCTAGAGATTTGATTAAATGACAGAGAGGAATTGCTAATTCATAAGCATTTATATTTAGCATATTTATATATATCATAACCTGAACTCTTCTCATTTTCAGTATGAGAATTTTCTGTCAGGATTTCATGAATAGTAACAGAAATTTAAAATATCTTTCACTATAGGAAATTTTGCAAGAAATCTCTAATGCTGGTAAATGTCTTTGAAATCATTACTCACTCTGGTTGATTCCTAAAATTCACTCTCTGTGTGTCTTTCAGCATTTGATTGTATCTTCTTTTGGTTTTTCATATGACTCATCATACTCCTCTTAAATTCTGCTTGAGATTCAAAACTGATTGATTTGAATGGATAGAGATGATTTAGATAGGTAGTAAGGGAGACATGAAAATTTCCTACTGTTTATTTACGTTAAAGTTGGGAATAGAAAAGATGTCAACACTCTTTGAATTATGTGTACTAACTTCAATTTGAAATGTGACCTTTTGTCCAATGTGATCCTCCGATATATGAGTGCTCAGTACTTATGCCATACTCAAGTTACAGTTGTCGAATATGTTATCAATACAGCTAGCCAAATTCCTGTATATTTGTGTATGTTACAAAATTGTAGAAAAAGCTTGAGAGAATAATGAGAACTTGTTCGAATATTTATTGCTTCATTTGATATATATATTAAAATCTTCTGATGGTAAGTTTACCTCTTTTGAAATTTGCAATTCAATTTTCAGTTTGTAAGTTCAATTAGATGACTTCCTTAACTGATGAGTGAAATGATTGAATTGAAATCATTTTGGATTTTCTACTTGTTCATTACTGGAAATTGATAATCTAACAGTTTTTGAAATTGTTTCCAGTTATTGTCAAGGAATGGGAATGATAGCAGCTTCACTTCTACTATTCATGGAAGAAGAAAATGCATTTTGGATAATGGTTACCATAGTTGAAGACTTATTACCTGCTTCTTACTATAGTTCAACATTATTAGGTGAAACCAGTTTGCAAATAATCGGGAAATAATTTTAGAGTTCTGTTTAAATTTTCAGGTATTCAAGCTGATCAACGTGTCCTGAGAACCCTGATAACAAACTATCTCCCAGACACTGATGAAATGTTGAAAAACCATGATATAGAATTATCACTGATAACCTTACACTGGTTTCTTACTCTGTTTGCAAGTGTTGTTCACATGAAAATTTTGTTGAGAATTTGGGATCTATTTTTTTTTGAAGGCTCTATAGTTTTGTTTCAAATAACGCTCAGCATGCTCAAAATGAAAGAACCTCATCTCAAGGAACTGGAAAATTCTGCTCAAATATTTAATGCCTTGTCCGATATACCAGGTGATATAGATGATGTTGATACGTTGTTTGAGGTAAAGATTTTTTTTCTTGAAAAATTTTGGGGTCTGCAACTTATTTGTTAATTATAGATTTCTAAACAACTCACTAGCTCCATGAATGATGTAATGCTGGAGACTTATAGAAGAAGACATTTAGCCTATTTAATGACTGACCAAGGAGCCCTTGTGGGAAATCCTGAATCTGCTCCTAATTTACCGAAACAACATTTGGCAAGGTTAGTTCCTTGGTTTTAAACTATTTTAGTTTGTCTTCTAATTGGTTTTGGGCTTGCAAACATATCGCTTTGTTTTTAAACTGAAATATTCCTTGAAGAAAAGTGAAATGAACTTTCTGGAAAATTTTAAACATGCAAATTGAAAAATCAAAAGATTGACACTACAAAAATAATCCAACCATCGATATTGTAAGCTTAAGAAGAGGTATTTTTCTATTGTTCTGTGAGAAGTCAGCCCCCTTTCTATATTTGAAACTAAAGAAACAAACATACTAAATGCATTATAACATTGAACAAATATTGAGTGATACGTCACAGCATAGATCAGAAGCAACAGATGAATGTCAATAGCCTTTGCCATTTACAAAGTATTTTCAGTCGCTGGCACTGGCCACCAGCTTCAGGTTCATACCAACGTCAGTCAAATTCATAATTTCAGAAATAAGGGCATGCAAATGCACTTAAGAGGTAGTTTTGATGATGACATAATATGAAATTTAAGAAAATCCCTCATTCACTTACTTTACTGTTTTTTTATATTTGAGTAGTGTATTTCTTGCAGCTGCCGTTAAGGCAGTGAAAGTATTTTGAAAAATAAAAAGACACTGCTGCAGTTTTCGATTTTTTAATAATTTCGAAGTGAACTAGATCTAAATTTTGGGGAAACTATTTTATTCTAATATTTATGAAGTACCAAGACATCAAGAAAAATATTTCGGTCATAAAGAATTTTTTGTAACATTCCAGGAACATGGGGTGTTGGCTTTCGCGGCTGATGTCTAACAAATTGTCCGATGTTTCCGGGTTTTTTAGTCGTGGTCTGCAGGTTTTTATACCTGACGTTTCGTCTGCTATTGTGTCGGACATTATCAAAGGTGATGCTGATATAGTTGTAATGTTCTCCTTTACTGATAATGTCTGCTGCAGATGCACTCAAAACATCAGGTACAAAATCCTGCAGACCACGGCTAATAAATCTGTAAACATCGGACAATTCCAGGAAAAGTTCAGCCATTAATTGTATTCAAGACATATCAATCCAAGTTCATGATGAAATAGTACTCAATATATGCAATAGCAAAAAAACACCAAGTCAATTCTCAGGCAGCACTCAATATTCTCTGAACAATTCCAGGATATTCCTCATGGTATATTGAACTAGATGGAAAAATATATCTTCTTTATAGAATATTTCTTGAATATGTTGGTGGGAAAGCATGAATGATTTTTTAGAATATTACATATAGAATATCTACTGAATGTTTTGAATATTCATAGAATATAACCTGGAATAATAAGAGTATTATGTGCATATTCTATGAATATTCCAGAAATATCCATATAATAAAAAATGAATATTAAATTAGCATATTCTATAGATGTACACAGAATATTATGAATATTTTTGGAATATCCAGGGGGATATGGCTTATAAACCACCATTAATGAAGAATTTTCTATGCATGGTTAACGGGAAAGCCAGTTATTTGGTTAATATTTAACATAGGACTTTGGTAAAATTAAAGAAATATGCGAAGGAACCTTCCAAATGAACAAACCTCAATCTCAAAACCATCTACGGCTTCGGTGCAGAGTGATTGAGAGTCTAAAAATGAAGAACTTCACCTACCCTTGAAGGTTATATAGAGAGAAAGTATTAATTTTGTAATAAATAGTTGTTTCAGTTATATCCATGTATCAATATTTTCCTTTGATACATAGATATAATAATATATACAGCAAGTATATAATAATAACTATGTTCTGAAACAAAGGACTCAGAATTACATTTTATGAGTTCTGTTGTATGTTCCCCGACTGAAAGGAATAAACAAATTTCGGTGCAAAGTACTGGTCACCTCTTTGATATAAAAAAGTGATCTCGACTGTCTACAGCATGTAGATGGCGGTGTAATTTCTAGCATTTGCATATACTCAGGTGTGATTTGATGGTTTCAGCGGTATAATTTTTATGATTTACAGCTGCCGACATGTGAATACAGCAACAGAGTTTTATATTTCCACATAAATACTCTCATGCAAATACTAGATGGTATTTTCGAATGCAAATAGAAAAGATATTTTCTTAGGAGACAAAAACTTTACGTATGTTTTAGAATAGATACCTCAATATTGATAATCTACCAGTGATTACCGGAAATCTTGGGAAATTTTGGATTTCTTTGTTTAAGGAAAGACAGATGAAGAAAAGTTGTTATCAAAATTAGAGTATTCTCTTTGTTATTGGTTTTCATTTGTCATTAGTTATTTTGCAGAGGGAATTATAGTTGTTATGTGGTCATTAGCCATTTTTTGATTGTTCAGAAAAGTCTTATAATAATAATAATAAATATGCTTTATTGTCCAAAAAAAAACTCTTATGGTGAACATTTTGAGAAAGAAAAAACATAGTCAAGTGCATGAAATCAGAATATAAGCTAGTACATTGATAAAAATATCTAGAGTCCTACAATGAAAATAAAAATTTTGAATGTCACATTTTCTGGAAAATTGGTTATATACAATATAAATGCAATATAAACAAATCTATTGGAAAATGAAGATGATTTTCGAGTTGGTAAGTTCATGATCTAATTCCAGTTATACTTCTATTGTTTCAAGCAGTAGAACCAAAATAAAGTTTTAGTTCTGTGATTAGTCTTGAAGCCCAATCGAGTGTTCACTGCTTTTTAAGTTTTCACAATTCAATCATTGAGATTATTTTGCCATTCCAAAACAGGCACCTTTCCCAAGCACCAGAACAACGATTTTATTAGTATTCACTGTTTTGAGGTATGGTTTATGAGTTTGTTTCAAACTTCAACTGATTTGCTCATCAAGTCTAGGCCAAAGATCGTCGAATTTACTACTAAATTATCTAAACATCAGTACGAAAATCAATATTTAGTGGCAAACCTGTTTCCACGTTATTGATAAAAATTAAATATTGAGTGGTAACACTGGCAACCCTGTTTTACGTTATTGACAATAAAGAACTTTATTTGCACCTTGCAACTTCATTTGATTGGGAGCTGTTCACGTCATTAACCAAGGATTAATTTCGAACTTGAACCTTATTTGGGTATGCAATAAGGTTTCAAAGATTAAAAGAATTTCTGTCAATGTCGAAAGAAGAACTCAGTGGTGCCAACTTGGGGGGGGTATCACTGGAAGCACTGCCTGATCGAGCGTTAAGTATGGTTATGTTTTGGGCACTTATTTGCCTTTAATTGTAAAATGGATGATGTGAAACGGGAGAATAATAGAATAAAACGGTCAAAAAGTGAAGTGAAGACCGTTACTTTTTATTTCCAAAAGAGAAATTATAGTGCTTCAAAAATTTTCGAAAGTTCAAGAAATCAACACTTAAGTTACTCCTCAGTGGGAATGTATACGTGCCCTACCAGTGGTAATGATACATGTTGGTCAGGAAGTAAGGCTTATAATTGTGTCTACACTCAGTTAACGTTGTCATCAAATTTAAACTAAGAAAGTAGACTGACGAATGGTTGACAGACAATTTGTCATTAATTGATATCCTTCATAGTTGAAATGTTGATCTTGATTTGACTGCATGTAGCCACCATAAGAATTCATTTAACTATTGTGTCTTACAGGGTTCTGTCAGATGTGATGTGATGTATCTGTAGAGTAGGGAGGGTGACCCATTGTACATGTGATGTGAGTAACTAAGGCCAGTAAAATCATCCACTGGGACTCTCATCATACATTTGAAATATCAAATGGTATAGAATGTTTCGTTCTTTTAAACAAAAAGATCATAGGGTGTTAATTTGTTTCTATATATTTAAATTGAAGATCACATTTTAATGTTTCTGGCATTTCGGAAAACTTTTTTATTGAGAAAAAAAAAAGATTATCTTTTTCCAGAACAAGATGTCCCACATTTTGTGTGTCATATGTTACATTCCGTTATAATAATAATGGAAAAAAATCTAATGACATGATTTGTGTGTTTCTGATATTCTTGCATTTTTGAAAACTTTTTCATGCCAATCATAAATAATAATTTGCTTCTGTTGACTTCAGGGCGTCTCCTATTTTGTAGGTCAAAATTAATTACGTTTCTATGTTTCTGAAAACATTTATGACGGAAATGGTGAATGCTGAACATCTTTTTTTCGTTACAGGTGGGTGGAAATAATGATAACAATGACCATGAACCTTTTGTTCATTATTTGTGTGCTTATAATACCATTAGAAATATATATCTCACGAGTACGATGAATAATATCTCGTTCTTTCATAAAAACCTGCAGATCAAGGCCAAAAAACCCGAAAAATAGCTTTTATTATTGTCATCATTTTTGCAGACCTAGGAAATATCAGGCAATTAGTTTTGAAAAAAAAAATATTGATTTTCTTCATTTACAATAGAGAAGTTTCACGAAATGCAAGAAGAAATGCCAGAAACGTAAAAATATGATCTTCATTGTATATGTATAGAAATAAATTGCAACCCTTTGATCTGTTTTTTTCTTAAAAAAGAAACGATTTTTATCATTTTATTGCTCGAAATTTCACTAGAAGACCCAGTGGATGATTTTACTGGCCTAAGTTGCAACTTTGTGTTTGAAGTAAATTTAATGCTGCAACTTTATTGACGGGATCGTTTTGTTTCTATACGTCAGAGCGTTTCTTTTTTCACACTGATTACATTTGAAAGGAGTTTTTTATCGAGAGAGTTTGAAGTAAACTGCCATTCAGTAGTTAATAACAATAAGAATGGCTTGTATAGGGTAGGGGCTCAGGTGGGCTCCCCTTTGAAATTTCATAAGAGGAATCAATATTTTAGGCACTTTTCTCGATGTGCGTTTCACCAATCACGTTGACGTCATCAGAAAGTCTAACTGGGCCTATTCCCATCTAACGATGAGCTTTCACTTTGACTCATGCATCAATTATTTCTTAAAAATCAAGTGATGAATAGCTGCAGAAAATCGCTGAACAAGCAAAACACGTCTAACTTTTATTCCTCTTACCAACAAACTAACCATGCTACACAACTGAAACTGAACATATGTTCGAGACGAGTATAAAAATATAAAAATTGTTAATCGAATGTACGTAGCCCGTGAACTTTGTAGAGGCCTCATATAGTAAAATTATTAATATTCTGTTGGAAAATGAAAGAATGGAATTAGTACCAACAATTAAGTGTTTTTCGAATTTTTATCAGTGTGAGCTTCGATAGTCATTTCAATTATATAGAAAAATATTTAAAAAATGTATGCATTTCAATACACACTTTTTTTTTCTGGTGTGAGTGCAGTGTTTATGTTGGATTCATTCTAACCGATAGTTTCCAGCTCTACCTTACATTACAACTTGAGCTACAGAAAGCCTAAAGATTGCTTGGAGATATAATAGTCAAATTCAAAATGAAACCAACCTATTGTTTCATTATAAGCCTTAATTCTTTTTGGAAAATGATGATTGAGGAAAGAAGTCCTGTTATTTCAAAAAAAATAGCTGCTACTATTTGTCAAATTAGTTATCAAAATAATGACCTACCTGCCTTGACACAAATAAGAGGACATTTCTTCCTGAATAGTCTTTTCTACTACTGGTAGAGTACGTCTACAATCCCTATTATAATTGAAAGATATGTAGGGAGATCCAATTCAATTTTATTCAGCTGTTGCAATATTGACCCTGGAGTGATAGACCATAATTTTAATACATTTTTGGACTGGATGAAAGAACAAACCATCAAAAGAAGGCGCTGTCGAGACATCGAACAATTGGTAGGACCATTATTTTGTCACCTTTATATGGATATATTCAGAGGTGGGCATGCAGACAGAGCTACGGCATTTTACAAGTGCTATTTAGAGTCGGTAGAAAATAAGTGTGATCCTGTATTCAAGGAGTTGATACATCTTATCGGGAGTGACAATGACTTGAAGAAATATAAAGAAAATGGTAAATTGAAAGAGAATTTTCGAAACAAGAAAATCGTTATTAATATAAGCAAGGAGTCGTTGGCAGGGCTGAAAAAGTTTGTATTGGAAAATTGTCATGTGATTTTTTTGCAAGTCTTACAAACCTGGTTTGATTTTAATATCATCACTGATTATGTAAAGAGAGATAAGGAAGTTGTGACAGTGCCTTCAATTGAATATCCCAAAGATGAAAAATTTCAGAAATTACTGGGTGTTATTAATGAATTGAAAAAGGAATCAACCCCAATATTTAATATAAAAATACATTTCAGTCAACTGGATATAGCATGTGGTTTACTAAAGAGACAGTGTGAGCTTGTAGCTTTTGCTGAAAAAAACAAAGTGTATCTAATGCCTGTTCATCCCTTGAACTCTTTATTTGACTTGGATGACGATAACCGTCAAGTAGTATTAACCAACCACTCGGGCCAGATTTACTGTATGGACATGTCACCCATGAACGATATGTTGGTCTCTGGGAGCGGTGACGGCACAATTTGTATTTATGATTTAGTTAATATGACATTAGTGCGGAAATGTGTGGGACATTTAGGACCTGTTTACTGTGTTAAGGTGAGCGGTAATGGAGAGTTTTTAGTTTCGGGTTCCATGGACGGAACTGCTAGATTGTGGCAGTTAAGAAACGGAAATATTTTAAGGATATTTTCGGGACATACTCAATCTGTGACTTGTGTAGACTTCCATCCAAATTGTTTGTATGTAGCTACAGGTTCAACTGATAAAAATATCAGATTATGGTGCATTAATAAATCTTCGTCTCTGAGGTTGTTGCACTTCTCTAAGGGGACAATTTTTTCCCTAGCATTCAGTCCTTGTGGCAAAAAGCTAGCAAGTGCATGCGAAGATAAGAAAATTCGAGTTTGGGATATCCTAACTGCAAAAGTAACTGTGGAACTCAGATGTAAAGATTTCCCTATCCTGAAGTTGCTTTGGAATGAAGCGGGGAATGAAATCTGTGCGGGGACAGTAAACGGAGTTATTCGAGTGTGGAACTGTTCTAAAACCCAGGAAAATTGTGAGGTCAATAAGCCACTCGAACCTGTATTAACCCAATCTGTGCATGCACGGTTATTGTGCATTGAGTATACTTTTGGTACATATAGTGTTTTGACAGCCTCATGATAATTGCATATTTATATTGTATTCTCAACCTCCATTCATTTTGTGATTTTTCATTCTGGTAAGAATAACTCAATGTTCATTGAAACTGATAACTTAATATACAATCAAAATCTATTGTTACAGCAATAATAATCATCAGATAGGTATGTAACATTGTACAGAATAATTCTTGTATCTATATTGATTTGTTTAACTATTGCATGCTTCAATTTATTGAGAGAATCAACTTGCTGGAGCGAATATATTCTAAAGATGATAACCATTGACGCCTCATTTACACACATGTGTAAAATTTATTGTAGAGATAATTCAAAGAACGTTTTTAGTACATTTACTGATCGACTGATCTAGCTTGGTCTCCGAGAAACATAGAAGGGTTACTGTGTAACAAAGTGCAAAAGGTAGCTATCGAGCATTATGACACTGTGCATACAAACCCCATAGGTCAAGGTGGAATGGTCGATTTGTAGTACTGTAATTTATATTACAAAATTTACTTTAGCTAGTTATAATGACCTCATGGAAGGTTATTGTCCTTTTTTTATTCTTCTGGTAAAGGTGTAGCTAACATTCAAATATATGAGCCCCGTTTTGCAGAAGATCCTTCACATCTTTTTGAGAATAGCATTAAATGGCAGAAATATATGTTTGTTGATACAGGTACTGAAACATTCAATTCTTTTTTGTTGGATTCCTGTATTTTTATAAATTCTATACAACGATCCTTATTACCGTATTCGGTAAATATTTTTTAACGTCGTATTTACTATTTTTCCAAATAATCCTATTTAATTTTATTTTACATTCAGATTATTATTCATGTATCTAGATTTGTTGACTACTCTTTCAAAAAGTTTTATGGTAATTTCCTTTACTTTTTTACAATTATTTTACTTTCAATAAGTTTTTGGTAATGGTATTTTTTGTAGTATAGACCATGAAGGTGGTAGGATATTATATGTAGTTCAGTCTTTCTGAAATTTTCCTATTTCACTACGAGAAGCTGTTCAGATTTGTTTAATTTCTCTGTTTCACCTAATTCCTATCATTCTAATTCTTTCCTAATGAGGCTTTTCGAGAATCCACAGCAAGCACATCAGCTTTCTTATTGCCTCAAATGAATATCTTTTCATGTCAAATTGATCTAGCTGGGATCAAAGTAGTGAAGTATTCAGTATTGAAACTTAAGAATGCCAATTTCAAATATACATAAAATTAATCGAATCAATACTGCTAATGATGGGTTGAAAACTAGTATTCTTTCATTCATTACATTGTATATTGTATTTTGATATTTGTTTCAATGTCATGAATGTTTATTAGGCAACTTTTCACTTTATTCTGAGTACTTTTTATTGTTAAGTTTTGAATTTATTCCTTTTTTATTCTAACTATGAAAAATTGAATAAAAATGTCCTCTCCTAAGGAATATTCAAAATAATAGTAGGTCACACAATGGAATTTTAATTTTCTCGACATGAGCTTTACCAACCGTGTTGTTGTCATCAGAAAATGATCTAAACTAATCGCTAAAAACTTACTCAATATCTAGCAGGGTGAACTTTCACTTTCAATATCATATATCAATGGGTTTTTTCTATAATTCTACCTATAATTATGAAGAAAACTGCTTATACGCTTGTGTTCGATCAGACCACAAATTGGTGTTTGACCGGAAAGGCAAGATGATGAAAATTAAGAAGTTTGGGCTTTATCAAATAAGCTTTGAGAACTACAATGGAAAAATATGTTGTTTAGACTAAAGGAGGCATTTAAGCTTGTTTCAAAAAGCACTTCACACAATAATACAAAATTCTAGTGTCGCTGTCATGTATTGGAAACCAGCCACATCATGAAGGAATGTTACTTGAAATTATTGATAACTGTGTATGTCACTAGAATTAGGGAAGATTTCAAGTGTGGTATGAGATTCTTATACAGCGACAAAGGTCCAAAGAGACCATTATCCAGTTTTTTGTGAGCCACTTTATTCGGAATTATAGATAAAATAATTAGGAAGACCTTGATGTATGGCAGTGGAAGTTCTTCACCTCTTGAGATATAAATATGCCAAGGTAACTACTAGGAATTAATTAACATTTCTGGTGTGTAGGAAACATTTTTTCTTTGCCTTCATTATAGCCCAGAGCTTCCCTATTCTATTCAAAGTTTTCGTTTTTTGAAGGTTTCCAAACAATAATATTGAGGACAGACTGATCTCTCAGCTTATAGCTACACCACTACGTTTCATATAATTGAAAGGGGATTGAAAATGAAAGTGTGACCATCAAGGAAATCAAAAATATTACTTTGTTTCGAACTCATAGAATCGCCTGTAATACAGTTTTTCTAGCCAGTATTGAAGCTGACAGAGGTTATATTTTTTGTACCTAGAACGTGACTTTATACTATCGTCACAAAAAGTTGTATGTCATTATATTTGAGTAATGGAAAGTTAAATTAATCATCAAATCGTTTTTTGACTTTATTGTGATTTTTATCATAAAATTTAAATAAAGGGGGGGTTTCTCAGGCAAAGTACTCTTGACAAAAAAGTTCTTTCATTTTTGAAATGTGCTTTAGGCAGAGCTGATTTCATACTTATTCGAAGTTTTTAATTGCCTATTTGAATATCTTTATCACTGAAACCATTTTGTTTTTTTTTAAATATATTTTTTAAATGTAACCCGTGTTTTTATTGTGAAAAGAGTAGTTTTCAAAGAGTGACAAAATATGTTTCAAAGAATGGAAACTTTCACGGCTGGAGATAACTGAGTGAAAGCTATTTTCCAGATTTTTTGGCCGTGTTCTGCAGGTTTTTATGTCTTACATTTCGTCTACTACTGCGGTATACATTATCAAAGGCTATGTGGTAACTGTCGCAGTACCCGAGTTGTTACTCCCGTTGTGTCTGAAGCAGAAACAAAGATGTTGGTATTTGACTCTGTTTTTGAATTATTCTTAGTGGGCGTGACTTGGCTTCTCTTGATTGGATTACCTGGCTGTGTTTGTGTACCTTCAAAGACAGGTAGCCAGATTTTATAACGTTCAATACCTCTTGTTTTCTAGTGAAATAGTGTTTTTGAATTTCCATTGCCTCTCTGTATAACTCTTGGGAAGTTATTTCGAGTTTTGTCGAGTACTCTGTATCTGGAATGAGATAATGTGAGTGCCTTTTTTGTTGAGAGCATGTTTGGCTACATATCTTGTGTACCTACACTACTTTTCGTGATTCCAGTGTAGACCGGTCCGCAGCTACAAGAAACCCAGTATACCCCGGGTGTTGCTAAAGGCTCTCTGGGATTTTTAGCTGACCTTAGACTTTCTCGGATGGTTTTTGTTGGCCTAAACATTGGAATTTGAAAAAAACTCAATTTTTCATTACTCGTGGTATTTTTGTGATTTTTTTTCAATATCAGTGGAAAGCCTGTATGTTGATTTTATTCTCAGAGAAAATGATAAGAGCATATGATTTTTTTAATAATAATAAATGAATACGTAGAATAAAGCAGAAACCAACATTCCCTGTAATTTTTATTGGACCTAAATTTCAATATGTTTAATTTTTGAATATTTTCGAAAAATATGGCAGAGATTACCAGCAGATTTTAAATTAAATCCTTAATATTTTACTCAACTTCAGCTTTATAAAATAAGTGTAAAATCAGAAACCTGTATAGAAAAATTGTGTAGTACATAAATAGTTCTCCTCATTAACAAATATTTACAGATCAATTTTGAATGAATCAAAAATAATTTTAATAAACTCTATGAAAATAAACATGATTTTTTTGAAAAAAGATACTTCTTGAATATATATTTTTTACACTATTATGGAGTCCATATTTATAGAAAGTATTTTTTACATTTCATATTGATAGTAGAAAAACCCATTCGCTAAAATAGTAACTGGTTGTCCAATCTTTTTCTATGAATTCACATATTATAAACAACTTTTATTTATTCCTTATTACAGGATTGATTTTCAAACTCTTCCAAGTGATGATATATTTTTATAAAGAAATGTATAAGTGTGCAAGTTCAACTTTCAAGCTCACCATACACCCCAATTTTCAAATATTCAATTGGAAGAGTGAGTTTTTTTGAATAGCTGAAAATAAATCAACTTAGCTGCCAAGATGAAAGATCGTAATATAAGCAGGCCCGTCAAAAGTTATAAACCACCCTGTAGTAATAGTTTGTTGCACAGCACTAGACATTTGAAGTATCGTTCACCATTTTTGTTGCTTACTTTTCATGCTCTTTTCATTTTTCTCCCCAAATTTTAGTCATCAGTTAAAGTATACCCATACCCAGATTACTAACGGGTTGAGAGGTTTATAATCTTTCATACAATTATATGCACTCAAAACTATTTCTATGTTGAATAATTTGGTGATACCTGTTGAGTAACACTTATGTGTAAATTGTTTAACGGACTCGGGGAGTATAGCTTGGTTGTTTTAACAAACGACCATTAGACGTCACTGCGAATGTTTGACAGGTAGGGGTAGGTCCAAAGTAAGTGGGTCTATTGGACCCTCCACTGCAACCCGTGAGGGTTTATTGTGGATCATGCGAAGTATCACAGTGTGCCGTGAGTCTGTACATTTAGTGAAACCAGTGTCATTATTCTGAAATCCTGCTTTGAAGATGAGCGAAACTTGCATTTCCCCAGCATAGCAATTCATAACTCATTACTGAGTAAAATGTGGCATAATATTTTATACATACTACACCTCTGACTGGCAGTTGGAGCTATTCACCTTATTATCAAAGATAATACTGCAGATGCTACTTATCTGAGTTGTACAAGTGAGAGATGAGTCAAGGTGATCTGAAAATTTCACGCATTGTAATTTCATTGAGGTACCTAAATGATGGTTTGAAAATGAACAGATTTCTGTTTGTGTCCATTCAAAAATAGTTCATTGGTATTGAACCACTGTTTGGCAAAATCATGATGATGTTTTATCAGCGTATAATATAGGTAATAGATCATGTTTTAGATGCATATATGAAGGTAAGTCATTGGCTTAAATTAGAAAGTGGAAAGGGCCTAGTATGAATACCTATAGTACACCCCTTTTGATAAATCTTCCCTGTCTTGAAATATGGTGATACACCTTCTGTGTTCTATTACTTATTTTCACAAACTACACCGGGAACCCACAAATTTCTAAAAATATCACGACACGTTTCGCTATTGCAGTAGCTTTTTCGCAGTGAATAACCTAATCTGAAAACTTATTTGTCTCTCTAACTTTTATATACCCCACGTAATCACTAGTGAGCACACATGCCCAGGTACATACTCAATCATAATTACCTAGAGCATAGATATTTTATTTCTACACTTACTCAACTTTTATATACCTCAGGTACATACTTGATTATAATTACCTAGGGAGCATAAATTACTTCTACATCAATAATAATATGTCTATAAAGACTAGGCTAACATTGGATTCTAAAAAAAAAACAAGTTCAGTAATGGTGATCTATTCAAATCCAGTTGGTCATTCAGTAAATTGCTTGAATTTTTAAGTTTATTAATTTCCAATGGTTCCAAATGAATTAGCTTTAAACTTTTTATGTGCAACATTTCGCAATATCCGTTAAAGATATGATTTTGTTCTAAAATATGATTTGAATATGTTGAATTTGTTTTCTTATTTACATAGCTCGTATGATGTTCATGGATGCGATTCCTGAATGTTCTGCCGGTTTGACCAATATATACCTTAAGGCAAGTTCCCCAATTTAATTTGTATACTCCTGATTTCTCGAATTTGGATGTTTTATCCTTATTATTTTTAATTAGCTTTCCCAACGTATTACCTATTCTATATGCAATTTCAATATCTTGTTTATTCAAAAAATGAAGCCACTTTTTCTGTTGTTTGACCAAAATATGTTAAAGCTCTATAATTTTGATTATCTAACTTATCAATCGCTGTTACGTAGACTTTTTTGGAAAGTGTTTTGTCTATTAAATTCAGCTTTAAAGCCGTTGTTTATTGCAATCTGCATAATGATATTGAGTTCTTAATTAAAATTATCTATTGAAAAAGAAACATTGGCCAATCTATGAAGCATGCTATTATAAGACGCTATTTTGCGTTGATACGGATGATTAGAATCGCATTGAATAGTAATATCCGTGTAGGAAGGTTTGTGATAATTTGAAAAATCAACAAATATGATTTTTCAATTTATCAAAAACCTTCCCACACAGATGTTACTATCCATTTCGTTAACAGAAAAAGCACATTTGCTAATTCGTTTTACTCGAGAGAAAACTGAAGTATTCATTTTAATTCACATGCTAAGTACCTATAATTTACTAATAACACTGGTTAAGACGCAAGAATCATTAATTCATATTTGCCTGGTAATAAAGTACACTAATAAATCGGATCAAATCATGACGTCATCCTATTATCCAGCGAAGTTTGAAAATATCTCAGGTATGCCTGATTCAAACAGGTAAACTGCGCAGGTATGCGATGCATTAAAAAGTGCTTTTCATGGAAAGTATTTTATTCGACGTGAGAATAGAGATTTATATCTAAACGAGTCTTGGCTCAAGGAAGGCTATACCGTTGGAAAGATGTGGCAGGACAAAAATATTACAAGTTCATGTCCATAAGCATTTTCAGAATGCTGTTCTGTTCAAACATGTTTAAAATATGTTATACCGGGGCAAAGTCGCCTTCCGGAAAAAGAAAGTGTTGATGTTTGAATCAGAGCATTTTTTTTTAGATCTCGTTCCACTTAACTCTGTGGTTGTGGTTGATGATGCTAGTTATCATTCCAGAAAATTTGAAAGAATACCAAGTATACAAGCGGACATCATTGAATGGCTTCGACAAAAACATACCCTTCGATTAAAGTATGGTTTAAAAAAAAATTGTCCATAGTATGTTCAAATAATGATCGTTTCTCGGAATATGTAGTCGACAAGATGGCACAGAATCGAAATATTCAGCGTCTGCCCTCTCAAGTTATGAGTTTCGTTACCGGACTCTCATGTCCAAGGATAACTGTGTCGAAGCTTTTTACCAGGTTTGTTAACCGTAAACTGCAAGTTCTATGCCCGACAATTCGTCTACAACTGCAGTAGATATCAGAGGCGATGAGACAACAGATAAAGTGCTCTTCAGTGAAGGGCAGCTGCGTTTATATTATTTGAATTTGTTTGCCTGATTAAGGTATCGTTGAGTGGGCATAGACAGTCTTTATTTATGTAAATTTTCTCTTCCCGTCATTTGGAATTATGTGTGTTTTGAATTTCTATCGCCACCCTATATAATCTTTGATGTAGCCCTGAGTTCTGAAAATCACTCCTAACACTTCTTTTCATGGTTTCAATGTAGACTGATCAATAGCTTTGAAAGATCCGGTTATACCCTCTACGTTGGTATAGTCTTCTCCCTTATCCTTAGTCCTCCCTCTGATGATTTCCGTTGGCTGAATATCGAGTTCTCATTGTATTTCTCCAGAATTATACGACAGTAACATTCTTCGCACATAGGACCGGAAAGTTCATCTATTGGCTGTCCTATATTCGGATTTCACCCTGGCCTTCTCCTTCCCACTGAAATTCGGCTCCGCTATACCCATTTCCTCTGAAGGCATTTTTCAGGTGGTTAAGTTCCCGGGTCGAGCCCTGAAATCAAGTTTTGAGTATCCCCTTTTTTTGTTGTACCTGGTGGTTGGAGTTTTTTATATGTGTTCGTTGGTTTCCTTACGTCTCATCTTCACGTCTGTTCATTAGTACATTCAAGATGGCGAGTGTTCTTTGAGTTTTTCGTAACATCGTGAATTAGTTTTTCAGGTTCAGCGAATGTTGGCACGGAAGAAAAACGTTACGTTGCCCTTCAACGTGCTTCCATATTAAAATGTATTATCAACGTAGCACAAGCAGCTATATTATGTCCCGGAACCTCATTCTGAAGCACGTTTGAATTTTTCTATGAAACAATTTACCACCACGACTTGAAATGAGTGAACAGGTCTGATAACGCCAGGTTAGGTAAAGTTCTTTGGTCTGTGGAGATCCCACAAGCTACATATCACAAATAATTTTTTGAACAGAGCGGTTTTAAGACCTTTGTCACTCAGAAAACGTAGCGGTATAACTATAATCTTTATGCTGGAGGAAATCGTTGAATTCATAATTACATTTTTTGAATTTTTAATGAAATGTATTCGCCATTGAACTATTTTACGACGGATTCTAGGTCCTTGCAGATAAGCAAATATCATTTGCGATTATTTCAAAGGCATAACACATCTGTTTTGCTCTAGTCTAGATGAATATGATAAATCCCAGAATGTCAAAGTCGGATACAATTTTAGCGAATTCGTTTGACTTGTTTTTTAGGAGGCAGGTCAAAAAGAATAAATCGGTAATACAACTTTTGCTTTTCAATGAAGCAGGCGAAGATGACATTAAAAGCAAGAATATCAAGCATACAGAAATATTGGTCGATCTGAGGGAGGCAATTCTACAGGTATGAAAATTTATTTGTGACTAACAATTAAAACAATTGTTGATTTTTTTTTCTGAATATTAGATTGCCCGACACTTCATGCAGTTGGATCCAAAATCAGGTTCAGAAATATCTTTGGTGGCTGATTACTCGATGGAGAGTCACGCTCAGGACCATACAAACTACATAAATGTTTCGAAAACGAGAAAGCGGAGAGCAAAGGCTTTATTAGGTAATGAATGATTTTTATGGCTGATCGACTTATTTCAAAAGGAAAAGATATAAATACTAAACTGGCGTGTGTGTTATAGATTTTGAAAGACATGATGACGACGAACTGGGATTTAGAAAAAATGACATAATCACCATCATTAGTCAGAAGGATGAACATTGCTGGATTGGAGAGCTAAATGGGTTGAGAGGTAAATTAGTCAAAATATTTTGGTATTTTATGCAATAGATATTGTAAATGATTATTAAATAGTAAGATAAGTTGTCATGCCTGATGATGCTGTTGTACAACGAAACAAGACTTACGATTCAGTAACTGTTTATGTCAACATCACATTGCTTTAAAATACGTTTATCAAAAAAAAAATATTTTTTCATATTGAATAATTGATGGTTTGTTTCTCTAAACTCGATGCGTTTGAAAATGCTCCATATGTGTAAACTCCTTCAATGAATTCCAGGTTGGTTTCCAGCTAAATTCGTTCAGTTACTCGATGAACGAAGTAAACAGTATAGCAGTGCTGGTGACGATAGTATATCGGAAACTGTCACAGACTTAGTAAGAGGTACACTATGCCCTGTGATAAAACAAGTTCTTGAACACGGCATGAAACGTCCTAATTTTCTAGGTGAGAAAAACTATGAGTTTCAATATCTCTATGTATGATGTAACATTTTATAGGTGGGCCATGCCATCCCTGGCTCTTTATAGAAGAATCTGCGATGAAAGAAGTAGAAAAGGATTTCAATTCAGTCTATAGCAGACTTGTTTTGTGCAAAACATATAGATTAGATGAAGACGGAAAAGTACTGACGCCAGAAGAGGTTAGTTTGGTGCAATCAGTAATGAATTGATAAGCTTTAGTTTGAATCTGAATACTTTCTTCAAACTTTTCCTGGACGATAGATATATTGCACAATATTAGATTTTTTTGCCATCTTATTGATTGAGACTTAAAGCTTATAATAAAAAAAAAATATTGAAAATCATACTTCCGAATCGTACAGACTGTACATAAATAAAGGTAGATACCTATATAATAATAGTCATATATAAAAAGTATCGTATACCAACTGATTTACAGGCCACACTGAACATTTCTGATGTTGGAATGACACAATCAATAACCTTGTTATATCTAGGTTAGGGGTCGGCAAGTAGTTATAGGTGGGGTTCGGAGACTGTGGGAAAATTTTAACGAGGTCCTGAAAAACCACTATGTATTATTTTGGTTTCAAGTCAAATTCTGAATTATAAAACAGAAGACCTAAAATTGATGTGAGAAACTACACCGACGGTCTTGAGCCAGTTTTTTATATAGTTTGGTTCTCGAGAGGAACAGCAAATTCGAAGTGTGTCTTTTAGGTGGGCGTCCGTTAATCTCGAACGATATTTGTTTTTCATAAAATTCATCTTTGAAAAAGAGGTTTCACATAAGTATGTCGAGCCAAACGTAGTATTTCTTGCAATTTTCATATTTTTCTGGGACATGTTTGGTCCAGAATTCTTCATTGGATATTATTTTAGACATTTGCAAAAACACATCTTCTTGCAAATCAATTATCTCTATTTGAAATGATGGCTTTGATAGATTAAACAACTTGGCAGCCACATCTGTCCATTCTGCCGCTACATCAACTTCAAATGGCGATTTAAAAAATGGAGATAGCTTGCCTATCTCTGCAAAGTCTTGGAATCTTGCAGCAAATTAGTTCCTAAAATTGGCCAGAAACTTTACAAATACTGCAATGTTTTTTTCAGATTTCTTTTTATATTCAAGAATTGTCGGAAAATGAGTAAATTCTTGCTTGCAATATCTTTTTCAAAGATGTCCAGTTTGCGAGGAAAAGCAGACACGTTTTGTATCAGATCACATGTTAATTTTATATTTTCTTGTAACTCTTCAGTTTGAAAATATTATTTCAAATAATTAAGGTATGGTATACCTTATCTACGTATCAGTTTATACTTGGTATACAACACATTACAATATTTGGCGGTCCGAGGTTCGACCTTTCACGGTCCGCAAACGGACCGCGTCAGCATGTTGCTGACCGTTGATCTAGATCTAGGTCATTTGATTTTTTATTCTTCAGCTGGTTTATCACTGATAGTAGTTCTGGTTCAGTTTTTTGAGATTTTGAACCAGTCGGTTTTTAATAAATAAATAAGTTGTATGCTTTTTCAAATTTAACTTCTTTGAATTACACAAATTACAAGTCAATCAAACTTTATAATTCTTGCATTCATTTCACTATCGGTTACTTCACTTTCGAACTAATACACAATTTAATTCAAACTGTTTTGCAGCTCGCAGCTATCTTTTGTATATCTACCACATTCATACATTCTCATTTGTTTTATTCTTGTATCGTTTATGTTGAAAAAGTGTTCGAAATATTATATTATACATTATATTTTGGTCACCTACTAAAATCTCCCATTTACTTCTTCATATTTCTCTTATATATACATATTCATAGTTACACCTGGGTTGAGAAGTCCCGTGCCTAAGAAAGAAAACGCGTTTTTTTTTCCAAAATTGACTTTATTCATTAACGCTCCATCAAGAGCCACACAATCATTCTGCGCCGCTCTAACATTTCAATACCATTTTTGTAGAATGATTTATTTTTTGCCTCAAAATAGGACTCAGTTTCAACAATAACCTCTTCATTCGAGCGAAATTTCTCACCGGTGAGCATTCTTTGAGGTTTGCGAACAGCCAGTAGTCGCTGGAAGCCAAATCTGGCGAATACGGTGGGTGTGGGAGCAATTCGAAGCCTATTTCTGTGCAGCACTTTCTTTTTCTTCAAATGGGGTCGCAATTTCGATCTTCAAACGCTCCAATTATGCACTGTTGATGGTATTTTCCTTCTCAAGATAGTCGATGAATATTACACCATGCACATCCCAAAATACCTAGGCAATAAACTTTCCAGCCGATTGTTGTGCTTTCGGACGCTTTGGACGAGGTTCACCAGTTGCTCTCCACTCAGATGACGATCGTTTTGATTCCGGAGTGAAGTGATGGATCCATGTTTCATCCATTGTCACATACCGACGCAAAAATTCCGGTTTGTTATGTTCAAACATGGCCAAAGACTGCTCAGAATAATCAAGACGATTTTGTTTTTTTTTCAGCAGTGTGCTCGCGCGGCACTCACTTTGTACAGAGCTTTTTCATAGTCAAATGCTTGCAGTATAAAGCCAACACGTTCTTTTGACATATTTACAATGTCAGCAACTCACGCAACTTCACTTTTTGATCATTCAAAACAATTTTGTGGATTTTTTTATGTTTTCTGGTGTTACTGCCTAATTTGGACATCCACTGCGTTCTGCATCATCAGTGTCTAAAACCACGTTTGAAGTCACCAAAGCAGCGTTTAATTATTGTTTCTGATGGAGCGGAATCCCTACAACATTTTTCAAGCCATTGTTTGAACGGTATTTTTTCTCATCAAGAAGCAGTTTAAATTAAAACACAAAATCGTTTTTGGTCCATTGTTTTGAAAACAACAAGAGTAGTGTCACTCTTAGCACAATAACTCACAAACTCATGAGTAGAATATCATGAAATTTCAACAGCTTTTTTTAAAGCGGTGAATGCAATGCGACCAGCGCCATCTCTGTATTAGGCCCGAGACTTTTCAGCCCATGTAGTAGATGCATTGTTTCGATTTATCAGCATAATGTTTCAGTTGCTCTACCGCTGTGTACAAGCTATAAATTTGTCCCATGATAATGCTCATGCTCAAATGGATGTGAAACTTCGCTCCCTAATTTGTATGGGTCTCAACGAACAAGTGCTTCATCTGTGGCTTGAAGTTCTTTGTTCATCTAGCGAAATTGTTCAGAAGTGGTAAGATGTTTTATATGTCACTAATTTTGGGATGACGGGTAATGGATGTCAATCTATACTACTTGTTTATTTTCATAGCTATTTATGGAAAGTCCATTTTGCATATGGTATCATAAGAAAAATAATACTACTTGAGTGATAATTAATGTAAATATAACTTGATAATCTGTCCAATAATCACCCCATTCAGATTAGAAAAAAGAAAACTTCCTTGATATTGTTTATTTGAACAATGATATTCAGGAGTCGAATAAATCTTGAAATTTGTATAGGTTTCAATTCAAGCCGAGATTCAGTATAAATAATTCTTATCGATTAGTGAATAATATTAAAAACGTAATTCTTCCTGATAACGCAAAATTAATATCGTGTGATGTCCAAAATTGATTTCCCAGTATTCCGTCAACTGAAACAATTGGACTGGTTGAGCGTTTCTTAGACAAAAACCACGTGAATCTACTAATAAAATAGGAAATTTAGATTTATTTACTATTCGTCTATCTCAAAACTATTTCCAGTTTGACGAAAAATTTCCTTCATGCTGTGAAGGACTAATAGTGGGAAACCCTTTGAGTCTCTTGCTGGCGGAAATTTTCATGGATAAGATAGAGTATGAAATCCATAATAATCTTTCAACTAACAGCTTCTTGTACTGGTACAGGATACGTAGATGATATCTTAGTATGTTTTACTGGTACAGATAGGCGATTAGGCAAGTTCGTTTAATATGTCAATTTCAACCACTCGTCAATAAAATTCACCGCTGAGAGGGGAGTAAATAATTCAATAAATTACCTTGATTTAACCATTACGAAAAATAACAATAAATTATGAATTTGCGATTTTCCACAAACCATCGTACACGGACATTATCATACATAATTCCTCCACACACCCTTACCAGCATAAAGTTGCTGCATTCAATAGTATGCTTCACAGATTATTGAATATTCCACTGTCTGATAGGGATTTCCAGGAAGAGCTGAATTTGATTAAACAAATCGCGGTTAATAACGGTTACAAAGTAGATATTATAAACGCCATTCTTTCCAAAAAACTATAAAAGCAAGCCATGGACCAGGTCTACCCAAATTCAAGATGCGATAACGTCAGTTATAGTACATTGTCATGTTTGGATGAACCCACTAATAATATTGCCCGTTTTTTGAAGAAAGAATGCGTAAACGTATCTTACAGAACGAATAATAGTATAAGTGAATTTGTTGGAAACAAAAAAGACAAAATTTCTGTGTCGCATAAATCAGTAGTATAAGCTGACTTGTGACTCTTGCCTAAAACTGTATATTGGCCAAACAGGGAGAACATTTTTCCAAAGAATTAAAGTGCATAGAAGTAGTTTTGTGAATAGAAAGACCAATTCCACATTTGCAAACCACCTTTTAGCAGAAGGACATGAGTTTCATCATGAATACGACGTGTTACATTTAGAAGAGAAAAGTTTGAATCTCAATCTTCTAGAATGTTGAGAAATCAATAGATTCAGGAATTCGGGTAATTTACAGAATGATCAATTAGAATTGAATAACTCCCCGTTACTAAATATTTTTTCAAATGTGAAAACGAGTACAAAAGCTCAGGTAATTTAACTAATTACAAACACAGGTAAAACTCAGGTACTTACTAGAAATCGAGGTATATAAAGCATTGAATATATAGAATATATCAATCAATCAATGCTAACTTGAGTGCCACACAATGAAGGTTCCACTTATGTCTTGCTTGCTTTTACGCTGTTATTTTTATCAAGTACTCTTCTTGATTATTCACATTTTGTCTTCAATCGAGGACCGCCTGTCTGGTACCGATGATGACCGACAGGCTGAAACAGCCTACCGATAGCTCTTAAATTGAAATCAAATTGGAAATTACCAGAATAGTACTCATCTTTATCTTTCATAAGGTAATCCTTCAAAGTAGTCCCCCTCAGATATAATATACTTGTGCCAACATTTTTTTTAAATCCTCGAAGCAGTTCTGATATGCACTTTTTGGTATGTCCTTGAGGTCTTTCAGCGATTCCGTTTTAATTTTTTCAATCGTCACAAAAAGTCGTCCTTTCATGGGTCTCTTCAATCTTGTGAAAAGGAAAAAGTCGCAGGGGGCAAAATCTGGTAAGGCAGGTGGCTGAGGCATGATAACAGTGTTGTTTTTGGCTACAAAGTTACGAACAAGCAATAACGAATGAGCAGGTGCATTATCTTGATGCAAAAGCCATGAATTGTTTCTGCACAATACCGGGCGTTATCTTCGTAACGCTTCTCGAAAGCCGTCCATAAATTCAAGATAATACTATTTATTGACCGTTCGACCATGTGGCAAGAACTCTTGATGCACTACGCCACTGAAATTGAATAAAACAGTGAGCAAAATATTGACAATTGATAGAACTTGGCGTGCTTTTTTGCCCTTGGCTCTCTTGGGCTCTTCCATTGGGACGATTGGACTTTGGTTACGATGTCATAACCATATACCCACGATTCGTCACCAATTATGACCCAAATCTGGAACGCCGTTGACGTCATTCAATAATTCCTGAGCGATGCTTTTGCGACGGTTTTTTTGGTCAAAATTGAGTATATTTGGAACAAACTTCGCTGCTACACGCTTTATGCCCAAAATTTATAAAAAAATCACTTGGCATGAGCCAACCGATATGCCGACATCCTCAGCAACTTCTCTAATAGTGATTCGACGATTCTCCATAACAATTTTAATAACTGCCTCAACATTTTTATCGGTTGTTGATATGCTGGGCCGTCCAGGGCGAGTCGTCGTCATTCACATCTTATCGACCTTCTGTGAAAAGTTTGTACCACTTGCAAAAATTTTTTGACCCAGAGTACAATCACCGTATGCCACTGTAAACATTTAAAGTGTTTTTGAGCACTTAATTTTCCATGTTTTACACAAAAGTTGATGCAAATTTTCTGATTAATTTTGTTCGATAGCAGAAAATCGCCGAACACTCAAAACACTTTTAACTTTTATGCCCCTCACCAAAAAATTAAACATGCTAAATAACTGAAAATGTGAACATATGTTCTAGACGCTTGTACCAACATAAAAAAAATCGCTAATCGAATGAGTAACTCGCGAAATTTGAACATTTTTCTTGTGCATCAAACGTCCTAGATCTGTGAATACTGAATTATTGACTCGAAACTTCAGTTTAGCAATGTATGAATATTATTGATATATTTTAGGTATCATCCATGGTCCTTTGTATATAGTCCTGGTTGGGTGCAGATAAAATGCGACTTGAGAATATTGTCGCAGTTATCATTCAACTTGAATCCCGACTGGGAGTTGCCAGTCAAAAAAGAGAGGAATAACCAACCTTTGAAAGATGGAGTTAGAGATATGTTAGTCAAACATCACTTGTTCAGTTGGGATATTTAATGAATACACCATTTTTATGTAAACTATTTGTAATACCTCTTACTATCAAAATGCAATTTATTTATTTATTATACTTGAAGATACTTATTATCATTTGATATAGAGTTTCAACATTCTATGGAAATTTTACTGATGAATACGTCCATATTTATGTTCCACTGTCTGTTGAGCTTTTTCAAATATTTTTGTGTAATATGTTTTGATCAAACAAACGTCTCCTAGTGAATCCATGAACTTTTTCATATCAATGTATTTAGATGATATGAACAAAGTGATATGTAAGACAAGAGGTCTGTGTCGGCACTGTTTTATTGACTGGGAAAGCGTGTTATTAAATACCTTGAAAAATCTGCCAAAGTTATTGATGAATCAATTCTTATATTCTATAAAGACAAAATCCCTATAAAATATCGAAAATACTAACTTACTAGAGGAACCTGCAAACCCCAAAACAAATGAAAATCGAGTATCCAGTGTGATCCAGTTCATTATGAAGCTGCATACATGTTGAAACAATGACGCATTCAGCCACGCAAGTGACTTACGAATTGTCTCGAAGTATCAGGAATAGGCCGATTGTGGATTCTAGTGACTGAATCAGCGTGAAGCAGCTTGGTTCAAAATATTTCAATACTATTTTTTATTTTGAATTCAGTTTGATTGCTACATAGTTACGATAGATATTTAGTAATACTCTTAGAAATATAACTATTGTCTATATTTACGATTCTCGTGTGACTTGAATGAAATTACCAAATGCTTATCATTCACCCTACATTTTTCCTTCTTTATATATTGAACAAGAGTTATTATCATATATATTTTGTGGAAGAAATCAGAGTATGAAAAAAAACGCTAAGAAATTGTACAGATACTTATCTTGACATTTTGGAGGCTATAATCTGCCTATATCTTCAGAATTGTAGAAAATTAAATGTATCTTATAGTTTTTCCCTTAGATTCAATTCATTTTCTAATTTATTCGACAGATGTCAAAGGTTTTGAAATGTGTAATATGTCAATGTTTTTGATGTAGTGGTGTTTACCTGATATCGGTCTTTTGCAATTTCGCCAATTTCTAAAAAACTGAAATACACTTTCATGATATGGGAATATATGCTAATTCTTTGAGTGATTCATTGGCAATCAATGTTGTCTTGTTCCATTCAAATCTATGTTCACCGTTTGATTTCAAAATGTGTTCTGACAATTTTGATCCTGCTAATTGTCCATTTCTGATGTGATCTCGATATTCATTCGCACCACTTCCAATGATCTTGAATTTCTACCAATATAACGTTTACCACAAGAACAAGGTATCATATTAATTGTTGCATTTTGTATGTGTGAGTATAGATCTTAGTGTATTTTTTGTTTTATGAAGTTCTAACATCATATCTATTTCTCCACTCATCTGATTTTTTCATATTGCCTTGGAGTATGATGTGAAACGTTTGTGGCTATTGAATCTGTATTGCTGTTGGTAGACTCATTTGGTTTTCGATTGGCTGTTTTTTTTTATTGCATTTATTGCTGACTCTGAAAACGAATCTAGATAAACATCTTTCAGAATAGATTTCATCAATGACTCTTTTTATCAACAATTTAGCTGTATTGCAACTTGTTTTTGCTCTATTATAGAGACGAGTTAGTAATATATGTTTTTTTTTTCAATAAACATCTCTATCAAAATGTTCCAACGACTTTTACAACATTTCATCAAAAAAAGTACTGGATACGAAGAATATTGGTATACACTTTTTTGAGACATCCATAACGGTTAATTGTTTGATCTGGCTCTGATGATATCTATCGGAGGACAAATGTCAAGAAATACATATCTTGTGATACGTAGCTGAATTTGTTTTGCTAGTGGCTTGTAAACAAGTTGATAATGAAATCCAATGGAGGAAATGTCACATTAATAAATGTCTCATATCAGACTAAAACAGCGCAAAAATATTTTTGCAAATATCTCAAAAACGACCATTGATAGTCGCAAGACCCCCAAATAGGCAACTTTTACCTAATTTAACTAACCTTGTAAGTTTTTTACCACAACCGAAGTAGTAAGAGTGAGATCAGCTAAAAAAAGGTCTGTATACATCAAGAACGTTAATATTTTTGTATAATGAGTAACTATTATCACAATTTTTACAAACGGTCTGTATTTGAAACCAGAACCTAAAAAGCAAAGCATTTCTTTCTTAAAAAACACCAGACAGCGCACTGTTTTGATCTGCCACAGGTGCTAGACTCCACCAAAGAACCAGAATGTATTCCTAGCATTGTCTTCATATAATTCAGACTTGACTCCTTTGACCTTTCAACGGTAGTAATGAATACATTACTGGACTCAACTGTGCTTGAAGGACAAGCCTGAGTAAGAAAATGTGATTACATCTTGCTCGTATGAAGACGCCATCTATGGAACCAACAGAAGATTATCCACGAATATTAAAGATAAACGAGTCTCCCCAAGGCGGTTTGTTGCACAGCCAGTCAAAGTTCGATGTCGACGGCCGAACCAGATTTTCTTTCGGTTTTTTTCTGCAGCTTTCACTGTGAGGCAACTGGTCGAAATTAGAGCCCAAAATAAGGCAAGCGTAATCTAACTCCAGATAGCGCATTTTCGACCCGCCATAGGTCTCATCAGTGATGCTTGAATGAAACACAAATGCATTGCTGGATTCGAATGTCCTTAAAGCAAAGTATAAAAAAAGGTGATAACATCTTCCTTCACGAAAACGCTTTCTATGAAATTCATAAATAGCATATTCGCAAGGGAAGATCTCATCGCTATTTCTCAAATAGTCTGTGTATTCAATCAAAGAGTGTAAACTTTCATGCCCAGATATGACTGTGTCTGACGTCTACTACTGCGGGAGACAGTATCTAATAAGGCAAAGGACGATATGCTCATCGTCTTTGATAACGTCTAGCATAAAAACCTGTAGATCACGGCCAACAAACCTGGAAAATAGCTTCGAAACAGTCTGTTGGTTTTATTGCTTTTAAAAACATTACGATATATGTTCCATATCAAGTAATTTTGTTGTTGAAAATAGTTTTCCACTAAATTTCAGTTAGTACCTATACGAAAATAACGTAAGAAACTCCTTCATATCAATGTATTTAGATGATATGAACAAAGTGATATGTAAGACAAGAGGTCTGTGTCGGCACTGTTTTATTGACTGGGAAAGCGTGTTATTTAAACAAAGTCCAGTGTCTTGGTCGTTGATAGAATGTAAATAAACAGTACACCTCTTTCCCCTTATTGACGTCACGAGCAGGTCTCTACATTTGCCGCGTTGCCAAATGTCGAAAAAACCCTCACTATTAGGGAGTTCTTGTACTACGTGACTTTTTTACGGATTTTTCAATTTGTTGACTTTTGAGCGGATTCTACCTGAATATGTCCATGATTATTATAGAAATAAAATGTCTACTTCCTAGTGTTACTATGATATATGAATGCGCAGGAATTGCGTATTATTATATAGTTTCAGGTTGAGGTATCAATAGACATTTTATTAACTACGTTATGTGGAAAACATTTGTAGTAAGTATATGTTATATAAATGTTACACCTCAAGAAATGAAAATTATCAACACAATAGTGGAGAAAATCAGAAAAGGGGATGAAAGTAAACCTTATACTGTTGACAAATAGAACGGAATGTTTGGCGTAATACTATATATTGATTAACGAGCAAAAAATATTACCCTTCATGAGAGTGATGAGCGTTGTGAATCATTCTTGCAAGTAGATTACTATACTTTTTCTTTGAGTCGTAATAGAAATATCTTGAAATATTAATAATTTGTGAAGAACATCCCGAATCAATAATACCATCAAATTTCTTAACAAAAAACAACAAAAAAGAGCATTCAAAAATATTGTCCGTGATTGTTGTTTTATTCAGTTTCAAATAATTTTTGAATGAGTAGTTGAAAATAATTTTAAATGAAATTTCGAATCTACAACTACTGACTCTTGAACCCACTGTTCACCTAACTACTCCACAAAGCTGGTTTACAAGTTAGTGAGACATTAAGTTATCTGAATTAGTAACTACTCTTTTTTTATTGAGTGGGAATTTTTTTTTACACATTACAAATTTATGGTGGTATACGCTCCGTTTCACTTCCCTAGTTTTTTTTCGTGTTTTTTGTTATGAATCTATGTTTCCAAATGAACTGTCAGTTTGATGATTGAGTTTGACGTAAATTCTCGAAGCCTACTTGCCATTGAAACTAACTTAGTGATTTGTGATCGGCCTCGAATGCAATAAGTTATGAATAGACCACTGTGATTGTTAGGAATGTGTGAATTATGGATCAGAATACACATTTTCCTGACAGGAACAGAACTCGAAACATATGAAATTATCATTTATTGTAATATCTGTATTAACAGGAGAGTCGTTAGTATTAAGTACTTGGCGCTTGGAAGTTTACGTAAATACAAACCATAGTTTGAAAACAGGGTGAATTGCCACAGGTAGGCCAAATAGCAATTATAACGTAGACTTAATAGTAATTACAACAATTCATATTTTTTTATTTCAATTATTGCAAATGTAAGCAACGTGGACAGACTGTAATCAACTTGGTTTTACATACAATATTTTTCAAACTACAAGCTGGCAACGCTGACATCTACTGAAACGTAAGCATAACCTTGATTTAACTCGAGTAACTGTTCTGACGCCCCGAAAACGCAGTGTTTACATAATTTCCTATTCGGAACTTTCGCGTTTAACCCGCTCAGTTTATTGTATCGACAATTTGCATATGAACGCGAATAATTAGTGCCACTCGATTACTAAGCAGTATTCAAAATTCAAGCGAAATCATCAATGTTTACGTGGAACTATTTTTTTGTCGGCGTATGTTTTTGTGAAAGCACCCAAACAAGCGCTAATTGAATTGAGGTTGATATACTGTTTCACTAGCCCACGTTACATACTACACAGGCGCTGGAGTCGTTTAGAGAGTATTGTTGTGATCGGTAACGTTTGTGTATTGGAGTTGTTTGGAAATTCTGTTTTTAATACAGTTTTCC